CCACGAGTCTCAATCTGCCTCAAATCATGGGGCTCGACGCATCCTCGCGTCATCACTACCAAGCCCCGATCCCGATAGACTCAGTAATATTACTACTGAACAGACTACTCCAGCTGGAAGTATAACCGTCGGTAACAGATCGGGTTTGACGTCGGTGGAGGAGACGTATGTTGATGACGGGACCTCTTCTTCCCTACAATTGCTCTCGAATACACAACCCGAGAGACTTCCACGGATGTCGCGCCTTGTTCAAGATACCAGAGGTGAATACATGTTCATTGGCGACTCTGCAACATTATCTTTTCTTCAGAATATTCGCAGGATTGTGCGACGTAGCATAGGAGATTGTGCCCTTGTTGACGACCCATTGCGACATGGCATTGTTGAAGCATCGCCTGAAACACGGCGAGGATGGATCTTATCAAGTGCTCAGAACCCACCGCCACGACAGACTGAACAAGACGTTGATTATTTGGTGAAGTGGTACATGCAATCTGCCAATTCTGTATTACTACTCTTCGACCAGAAAGAACTCGAGCATGGAATTCAAAAATGGTTAGAAGATGGACAAGACATCGCTGATCCCACGAGTTCTGTCTACTATCTGGTCTTTGCCATTGGTGCACAAACAGGGCCGGAAGACAAAGATGATTTGGCAGAGACATTCTTCAACTATGCCCGGTACTTGACAGTGGAAACTCTGATTGAAGAGCCTGGCATAGTCACCATCCAAGCCTTGGTTCTTATCGCGATGTATCTTCTAGGTGCATCACGGCGCAACGCCGCTTTTATGTATCTCGGCATGGGAGTTCGAGCTGCGTATGCTATTGGCCTTCACCGTCATGATATAGCTTCACTTTTCTCTGCCAACGAAGGCCGAGCACGAGAACAGTTATGGAAAGGGATTCGAATTCTCGACCTATTCATGAGCGCATCATTAGGGCGACCTCCTTCGACGTCGGAGCTGAGAGATACAACAAACCCCCAGAACTACTCAGCTTGCAATGATCTGTCAATGATCTTTGAGTTGATCCTTACAGATGTCTATGCCAAAAGAATGATATCTCCAGAAATACTGGAGCGTATCAGCAAGCATCTTCGACGATGGACTGCGCAATGCGGAGAGGGTCTCGTCGTTGATGGCATCGAGCAGGATGACTTGATCCGTGACCAAAACGGCGAAGAGCAACCAAACATTGGCCTAATACACCTAAAGCTGACTGGTCACTGGACTGTCATGCTCCTGTCTCTTCCATTCCTACATAAGGCAGTCTCTCAACACGTCGAGGATAACGAACAGTCCGCACAAGGAACTGGAAAGCGCTCCTCGTCATCAAATCAGGTTCTTGTACACTCTTGTCTCGAGTCAGCCGTGAGAACGGTTGACTTACTCCAGACTCTCGTCCGGACTGGAACCATACCGAAGCGCTTACCGATTGTTGGCAATTCAGCTTTTGTATCGGGCCTTGTACTCGGCGCCGCCATTTTCGGTGACTTTGACAACTCATTCCCGCTCGAGAAGAGTCTACATGCAGCGAGAGGTGTTCTTGACCGCTTCAGCAGATACGATGCTGTAGCAAAGCGCCATCTTATGATCTTGGATCATCTACAAAACGCATGCGATATATATATGGATAACCGCGCAAGATTGCGAATGGAACGCCAAGGCCATCTCGTCAACGGTCTCTTCGGAAGTATTCATACGATAGGAAAGTCACCACTGCGAAATTCCCAACAACCAGAAGTCAACTTCCGAATTTCTTCAACAGATGGCATTCAAACACAGCCACAAACACCTAGACCCGGGCAGGTGTCAAACGAGGTGACAGACGAACAACAAGGGTTCTCGATGGATGGAGCAGAGCAGACAGAGATTGATGTTGATGTTTCAGCGGATGCTTTCTTGGGAATTTCGCCCAACATGCTTTGGTTCGATTCTTTTGATACGACCATGTCTCTATTTCCTATCGTTGATACGCAAATAATGGGCGATGAAATGATGTCCAACGGTGTTAATAATCAAGAATGAATCGGATATCCGACGGGACCTATCAGTGGACCAGATTAACCGAATTGAGCGAGCGAACAAGGATAATCGTCTTACGGACATGGGCAAAAAATGGCGAATGGTGGTGACTTCTTAGCAAAATGGTGGAACTTTTGTTTCGTCTGTCATTTGAAGGGCGCAATAACGTTTAGGGCATCATGAAATATAATGATTACACGCATTTGCAACATATTTCGGCTGTATTCAGACTGGGCCGAACCACGTAAGCTGATCCGGTTAGGTTCAATATCACGACATGAGTTAGAACATAACGTTGCGTTGAGGCCACCAGTGGAGATATTAAAATCCGCCTCGGACCCCTCACTCGATCTGACATTAAACCTTTGCGATAGAAGACCACCAATACTACACCTACAGCATCTCTCTCGAAAAAAGGATTAAGGACAATTTCATTTACAAACCACGTCAAGATAGTCACAACACCTACCATGCCTTCACCAATCCGGGCAAAGCACCTAAAGCCAGGTGACAAGATAGCATTCATATCACCATCAGAGCGAATCAACGCCACGCTTCCAGCAGTTATAGAACGAGCCTCTTCTCTTCTCACAAATAAAGGGTACCAAGTCCAAACTTTCTTCAGTGAAGACAAGGGCATCCAGTCGTGTATCGACAACCGACTATCTGAGATCCGAGCGGCTTTCTCAGACCCAAGCATCTCAGCAATCATCACCACCATCGGCGGCACAACCTTCACAGAGCTTCTTCCGGCACTAATTGCTGACAAAAAGCTTCATGAGACCATTCGTGCGAACCCCAAAATCGTGGTGGGATACTCTGATATCACGGGCTTGCACTGGTTTCTGTATGGCATGACAGGCTTAAGGACTTTTTATGGACCTGGTGCTGTTCCTGAGATTGGAGAGTCAAACGACATCAACGATAAGGATACGCCCCTCGCCTTTTGTGTCGAAAATTTGCTCCGAGCGATTGCATCTCCAGAGCCATTGGGCCAAATTCCACGATCCAAGTTTTATGCACCAAGAGGCGCCCCGTTCTTCGAGAAACCAGATTCTACCGAGCCACCAAAAGTCGTCGAGACTAGCGAATGGCAATGGCTAAGACCTGGAAAGTCTCAAGGTCGATTATTCGGAGGCTGTCTCACAGTAGTTGCCCGCCTATCTGGCGTTTCAGCTATTATCCCCGACTGGCGCGGCCGCATCGTCTTTCTCGAGACAGCTACAAACGAAGACGGCTCTGGTGGGAATCCTCCCCATCGAGTTCAAGCAGCCTTTGCAGACTTGGTGGCTCAAGGTGTTTTCGAAGACGCTGCAGGACTAGTTGTAGGACGACCGTATGGATATGATTCTGAGGAGGACAGAGCAGTTTATGCAGGTATTATCAAGGGGCTGTTTTGTGAGGGACGTCTTGCGTCGAAGAGTTTCCCGATTCTTTTCAATGTAGATATTGGACATACGACACCGATGGTCACACTGTCTTATGATGCTTTGGCTGAACTTGATTCAGAGACTGACACTTTTGCTGTCTTGGAATCTGGAGTCGAGTAAGGAATGGCGTCAGCATATTCTGGCTGCGGTGAGATTCATAGCTTTATATTGAATGGCATTGAAATGGATAGACTAGTATGTCAACTGCCTCGTTCTAGATTATTGGACCTTAATGTCCCATTCGATTGCCATCTTCTGCCCTTTAAAACAATCTCAAATAAGAACTCCTTCCTTGATATACACCCCAACATGGCCGTGACTGTGCGGATTGCCATCAGACATCACTGAGAAGTCGATTTTTGGACTCTGCTCCGGATAACAAGAGATTTCTTGTTGACTTGAGAGCCTGAGATACGGATGCCCAATCGCTTGAACATCCCGAAGCTAACCGGCGATATTGTGCACCGCTCTGTTGGGCGCCAGTATTGTCGTAAACTGACTGACTGTCGCCCAAGTCAAGTCCCGTCTGATGTGTTGCCCTGAATATCTTGGTCGTTGATCTCCATATACCGTTCATAAAGAAATCTAGTAACCGTCCGCTCGAAGCGCGGCTATGCCAGTGACTATTGTTAATAGGAAGAGGACGCAGGTCGATATGATCAATATGGCCGCGTATCTATCCCATTCCTCGCCATCGTACTTTCGAAGGTCTTTAGTCCAGTCCGGTATGTCAATTAACCCGGCTTGTACAAGCTCTACGACAGCAAATATTGTAAGAACAATGGCCGTCCATATAAAAAGCCAGATGTTGAACAGGACTCTCGTCACAGAGGAGGTTTTAACTCGTTCCATTTTGGTGATGGTATTTCGGTTTGAAGGAGGGGATATAAGTCAACAACGAGGATTTTATTGAGATTGGGGAATAATACATTGCGAGGGCTGTGAGTAAAGGTACCGTTCTTTCAATGCGTTGGACTCAGCTGTTATTATACTTAGAGGCCTGGCTCGGAGAATATCAAGGTGCGGCCGGTCCCTTGCTTGGGTCATGTCAGCACCATACATGTGGGGCGAGTCCGAACCAATCTGGTGAAGCTAAGGACAAGAAATCTGCCTTGGCACTCGTTTTTTCGGCTTTGTGAGACATGTAAGAGGCCCCCAATTGGAAATACGACATGACCTGTCTCTAATGCAATTTAAGATCGATCCGGTAATTCCGAAGTAAGGACTTATGATTCTGAAGGCTAACAATCTGTCGAGAAAGATGCGGCCCGTTTCCGTCAGCCTGTGACTCCAAAGTCTCGCCTTTGTTTTAAGATTATGAGTCAAGCTTTCGACGTTGAATTGTTGTCACTTGGAACGCCTATCATTGAGTGAGAAATTAAAAAGAAGGTGCTACAATCAAATGTCCCTATAAACCGCGAAAGCTTGTTATCAGGACAAAAATGCGTGGAAATGGAGCGATTGTTGTTTAAACACCTGGCAAAGGCAAAGCATTACGAATATATACTATTCTAATTGAGCGGCCATTACATAAGCTCAAGCAAAGCAGCTTGGCGCAGTGGAAGCGCGGTATGTTCTACTCCACAGTTGAAACTCAAAAAACCGTACTAACCCATCCCAGCCGGGCTCATAACCCGGAGGTCACTGGATCGAAACCAGTAGCTGCTATGAAGCATTCTTTTTTTTCTTCTGTTTTTTCTTGATAGTTTTTTTCTTACTCGTTTTTGCTTTTATTTCGTCCTTTTATTTTTTTCGCACTTTATATCTCGACTGTATATACTGTGTTTTAATCTCGACTTAAGTGCTGCGCTTGAGGTATCTAGCAGGCAGTCTTGTTAAAGTAATTTATTTTAATAATGTATGCAGTAGCACTCTATAATCGTGATGATCAATTCTTAATGAGCGAGAGGTACAGTTACTGAGATTCTAGGAAGGGCTGGCAAGTCACGTCTTGGAAACGGTCTGGCAGCGTTCGATCGATTATATCACGATCCATAGTAGAGATGGCCGCCTTAGCACGCCTATATCTATGTGGAAGACAAAGCTACCTGCGCCGGTGCATCTTGGGGCGTCAGAATGGGAATTGATGGGTCTTTTAATGATGTAGTGATTTAGAACATAATAGGACCGCATTAGCATATGAAGAACTAGCTCAATCTCAAACACCTGAGTGTATTGAACTCATCCGAGAGCAAGACGAGTCGGCCGATATTCACATCGGTATTTAATACAGTCCTAGAAAATTATAAATGGAAACTTGGATCTAGAAAGACAGAACTGTAAGAGCCTCGGCTCGCCGACAGCTCCTCTTTTCGGCCGAGTATCAAGGCGCTAGTGTTGGCCTAGTCCATCGTCAAGATGATCACATATCAACGTCAACTTCGTCGATGCTAGATCAGACCAATTAAAGGAGAAGCAAAGAACCGCCAGAACGGATCTGCCAACATCCGAAGTGCGGAGCCATGGAGTGGATTTCAAATCGAGCTTTTCAACATCAGATGAGACATTCTGTTACAGGACAATGTGATCAGCCTCTTATCGTTTCCCATCAGAATAAATCAAGTTATGAGCGTCATTCCTTAAACGTAGTCTTGCTCGTCACTCCAGGACCTCTATTGTGGACAGGCATCGCCACTGTAAGGGAGAACCGAGTGACGACGAGAGGTACCTTCTCGCAACAAATCTTGAGCTTGTTCCAAAGTGTCATATGTCACTTGGATCCACATTGAGCCTCAGCCAAGGAATTTGTTCTCATATTTGCAAATTTCCGATCTAATCGCCATTTTGTCTCTCTTCTTGGCGCGTTCCTCAGCTTGACCAAGGCAAATCTGGGCCACAGCCCCTGCAGATGCATCAAAGAAACATTTCGCGCCGTTCCCCGTCATCTATCAGGGCCAGTGATCAGAACCGTTTTGAAATCCTCCGCATTTCTTATTATGATCGGCATGGATATAACGGAGACCGTTGATCTATTTACGAGACTCACCAGGGTGTATTGCCAGAATAGACCTAGAAAATCAATAGTTTCACTTTAGTGTCCCATACAGCAACCACTTGTATTCATGATAGCACACAAAAGTACCATGCTTATGCAGACATATTTTGAAGAGAGATTTTTGGTGTTGCTTTTCGAGGCTGTCATCGTTTTTTCGAGTACGTCAGATGCCATCATAGTGTTTCCAATGAATGCTTTCAGGGAGAAATCCCAAACAGCGGATTCTAAAATACCTATATAACTATCCAAACTCTAATCACAATAACCTAAACGACACAGCATAGATACCAGTCTTGGCAGCGATAGGCTTTATCTAATAACATGCGTTTCTCTCTTTTCGTTGCTGCGCTTTGCGCACCCTCTGCCCTGGCTTTCCCCTGGATAACACCAGAGGGCCTTGATACGCTGCTCAAGCACCCCGAAGCACGTGCAGAGATCGACCGTCGCTTGAAAGAGCACCAAACTGGCCAAGAAGACAAGCGACATGAGTCCAGGCAGCTTAAAACTGGTGTCGTGGGTGGCGTCGTATCTCTGCTGGGAGGCACTGTAGAAGCCGTTGTCGACAATGTCATGGGCCTAATTCCTACCAACAAGGCCGTCAAGGGTCTGCAGAAGTTCCCTGAAGCTTCTCATCCCTTCAAGGCTCCCGGTAAAACCGACCAGCGAGGTCCTTGTCCCGGTCTCAACACTTTGGCCAACCATGGATGTAAGTTGAAGAGATTTGGAACAGACAAATGAGAAACTGACAGCTCATTCAAAGATATACCCCGAAATGGCATCGCTACGATTGGCCAGATTCAAGCCGGAACTGCAAAGCTCTTCAACATGGGAGCAGATTTATCTGCACTGCTTGCTGTTGGTGGTGCTGTCGACGGTGGTGATATCTTGTCTCAAAAGATGAGCATTGGAGGTCCCGATAACCGTGTCGGACTTTTGAATGGAGCTTTGAACAAGATCCTTGGCAAGCCATCTGGTATCGCTGGACATGGTAAGCTATCTATTTGACGATTTGAGAAGATTACCGTGACTAAGACATGGCACAGGAAAGTTTAATGAGGGCGATGCATCTGCTACGCGCCAAGACTTTTATCTCAATGGCGACAACATCTCCTTCAAGCCTGAGCTATTTAAGCAGATGCATCAACAGGCTCTCGCCAAGGGTGACGGTACTTATAACGTCGATGCCATTAAGGAACACTTCAAGAACCGATACAGAGATTCCAAGGCCGCCAACAAGCAGTTTTACTTCAATCTCCCAAGCGCAGCCGTTGTAATGGGAGCATACTACTTTGTTCCTGGCTTTTTCTCCAATGGAACAATCGGCGCTGGCGGTATCGCGAATGAGGCTTCAATCACCTCCTTCTATGGAGCCAAGCCAAAGCGTAAGAATGCTTGGAAGGATAAGGACCTTGAGTACACGCATGTTCCTGAACGCATTCCCGAGCAGGGTTGGTACCGACGTGCCACTCCCATGACTATCGCTGAGGCCGTTGGTGGAATCCTTGACGTGTTTCTCTACGCTCAGCCAGCTCTGGGAGGATCTGGCGCTGACGGTAACTGGGTGGTTGGTCCGCTTGACTTGCCTAAGGACCCGCAAGGCTTGAGTTGCTTTTTATATAACGCCGTCTTCGCCAACTTCCCTGCTGAGCTCTTCAACTCTGTGAGACTCCTGCAGTCGATCCTCAATGGTGTTTCGGATGCCCTTGTTCCCGGATACAAGGCTCTCGGCTGTAAGGTCGATTTTCCCGATGCCAAGGGATCCTCGGTGAGTAAGAAGTTCGCCGCGTACGAGAAGAAGTACGTTGGTCCTGCCAAGACCAAAGCTGTAGGTAGTGGTTGGTATAAGAAAGAAAGAGATTAGAATAGAATAAAATAAATATTGTCAGCGCTACCACTTTCTTTCATCTTCAAGTTACCTTGCACTGTAGTTATTTTATTCAAGCAAAAGGCATGAGGCTGAGACATGTCTAATGAAAGGATGATATTGCGACTCTCATTGGATGGAAGTGAGTGACATAATCATGATATGCAAATGACGTCTATCAGATGTCACCCCCTCACAAGATTCAACCTCAACATCCTCAAAATAGAACCCCAAATACAAACCGATACAACCCCGTCCCAGTGGGGCCTCAGCACCAGCGTCTGAGATTAAAATTCGAGTTGAAGAAAGTGATAGCCGAAAGAGACGCCGTTCCCATAATCATATTGCCTGCGACAAATGTCGAGCAAAGAAGATTAGTGTTAGTGCTATGGTTCTCTATATCTTTTTACATACTTATCCAGCCTAGTACAGTGGCGCGAAACCCAGCTGTCCGCCATGCATATGGGCTAAAGCAGAATGCGTATACAGACAATACTGAAGTTCAGTGCGTCCTGGGGATGAGCAGATATTGGAACGGCTTAACAACAGCGAGCAACTCCGACAGGCGCAGACCGAATTTATGAACCACCTGCGCTCGTTGCCAATTGATCAAGCTACCGAGATGCTTCGACAGTTTCGTGAAAATCCCGACTTACCCACTGCCTTATCGTCTATGCAGGGAAACACTAACATCACGGTTCAACCCTCAACTCTTCGCAATGCCCGAGCAATAGCAGCTCCTCCTGGATCGGCTACTGAATTTGATCTAGCTGGGCAGTTCGGCACGGCGTATCCCAGGATACCTCCTGTGGACTTACAGGGCTTAAGAGCTTTGCTGAGACAGAACAATGATAACCAGACGGCCTCTACCAGTAGGAACATTCCTCTGTCTTTGCCATCGATATCTGAGAGCTCAAGAGATACCTAAACCCTAACAACGCCTACGCCTGACAAGTACTGCGATAGCCACCTTGAAAAACTCCAGATCAGCTACTGGACAAAGATCCCTATATCAGACCAGGTTGCTGCAGCCTTGACATCCTTTTATATTGAGAATGATCACAAGATATTAGGATTCTTCGATGCTGATCTGTACCTCGATGACCTTGTTGCGTGCCGCCAAAGGTTCTGTTCCCCGTTCTTAGTGAGTTCCGTACAGGTTCTCATTCCAACAACAAAACCGATGTATGAATACTGAGATTGTACAGCAAGGATACGCCGCGATTAAATCGGGAACAAACGAGATTCGCATCGCTGCCTTCCAAGAGGCTGAAATGCTTTGGCAAGGGGAGAAATCCGATCCGTCACTCATTTCACTAGCAGCCATGGGTCTTTTTAGTTCATTTTGTATCTTCGAAGGCAAAGATGTCATCGGCCAAGAATGTTCCTAACACTTCGCCATAGCGCGGAACGTCTGGGAATCTGTAGCGACCACGTCGATGGTCTTTTGACCACGACTAATCTCCAGTCGAACTCACCAGAATGGATGAGGGCAACCTCACAGATTGCTTGGGGGGTCTACAGCTGGCTGACGTACGTAAATACAAGCGAGAAGCAGATCCAACCTGACTCTTCTGTTTGACTAGGATTCACGTTGTCTACTACCAACATAAACATATTCCGTTTCCTCCCGCTTTACCCATCCCAGGAGAACCGAAAAATGGCGAAAGACCTGGTACATCGCCTGCTTTCCTTGGCAATATGTTCCCGAATACCTGTCGACTCTGGATGATTGCTCAGGAGGTTCTGGGTGTTTACAACTTCACCAAGGCACCTATTTCGGAGCGTATCCCTTTATCCTTTGCCGAA